TCTATACTTGACCTTGCGAAAGCGCTGCGCCTGTCACGAAATCTACACTTGACCTTGCGAAAGTGCTGCGCCTGCCACGCAATTCAAACCTTGCGAAACCTTCGCGCGGCCGTGCCAATGGTCCCGTCTCCGAGACCGTTCCGAGACCGCCTCCGTACAGGCGTCGCAGCCGAGGTGGTTTGCGCACAGCTCCCCGGAAGCCCACTTCACGGGGGTGCAGCGGATGCGCCAGGACGGGTAGTTCGTGGCATCTGCATCCCCCAGGGCTGCGCAGAGAGTGGAGCGCAGCACCTTGCGAAAGTGATGCGCCTGCCACGAATTTTTTACTTGACCTTGCGAAAGTGCTGCGCCTGCCACGAAATCTATACTTGACCTTGCGAAAGTGCTGCGCCTGCCACGCAATTCAAACCTTGCGAAAACTTCGCGCGGCCGTGCCAATGGGCCCGTCTCCGAGACCGTTCCGAACCCGTTCCGAGACCGCCTCCGTACAGGCGTCGCAGCCGAGGTGGTTTGCGCACAGTCCGGAAGCCCAATTCACGCACAGCGCCAACGTTTTCTGCATCTTGCCATCCCGCTCGCAGAGAGTGGACGCAGCACCTTGCGAAAGTGCTGCGCCTGCCACGAAATCTATACTTGACCTTGCGAAAGTGCTGCGCCTGCCACGAAATCTCTACTTGACCTTGCGAAAGTGCTGCGCCTGCCACGCAATTCAAACCTTGCGAAACCTTCGCGCGGCCGTGCCAATGGGCCCGTCTCTTCCGAGACCGTTCCGAGACCGCCTCCGTACAGGCGTCGCAGCCGAGGTGGTTTGCGCACAGTCCGGAAGCCCAATTCACGCACAGCGCCAACGTTTTATGCATCTTGCCATCCCCCAGCTCGCAGAGAGTGCTTGCGAAAGTGCTGCGCCTGCCACGAAATCGATACTTGACCTTGCGAAAGTGCTGCGCCTGCCACGAAATCTATACTTGACCTTGCGAAAGTGCTGCGCCTGCCACGCAATTCAAACCTTGCGAAACCTTCGCGCGGCCGTGCCAATGGGCCCGTCTCCGAGACCGTTCCGAGACCGCCTCCGTACAGGCGTCGCAGCCGAGGTGGTCTGCGCACAGTCCGGAAGCCCAATTCACGCACAGCGCCAACGTTTTCTGCATCTTGCCATCCCCCAGCTCGCAGAGAGTGGACGCAGCAGCACCTTGCGAAAGTGCTGCGCCTGCCACGAAATCGATACTTGACCTTGCGAAAGTGCTGCGCCTGCCACGAAATCTATACTTGACCTTGCGAAAGTGCTGCGCCTGCCACGCAATTCAAACCTTGCGAAACCTTCGCGCGGCCGTGCCAATGGGCCCGTCTCCGAGACCGTTCCGAGACCGTTCCGAGACCGTTCCGTTCCGAGACCGTTCCGAGACCGCCTCCGTACAGGCGTCGCAGCCGAGGTGGTTTGCGCACAGTCCGGAAGCCCAATTCACGCACAGCGCCAACGTTTTCTGCATCTTGCCATCCCCCAGCTCGCAGAGAGTGGACGCAGCACCTTGCGAAAGTGCTGCGCCTGCCACGAAATCGATACTTGACCTTGCGAAAGTGCTGCGCCTGCCACGAAATCTATACTTGACCTTGCGAAAGTGCTGCGCCTGCCACGCAATTCAAACCTTGCGAAACCTTCGCGCGGCCGTGCCAATGGGCCCGTCTCCGAGACCGTTCCGAGACCGCCTCCGTACAGGCGTCGCAGCCGAGGTGGTTTGCGCACAGTCCGGAAGCCCAATTCACGCACAGCGCCAACGTTTTCTGCATCTTGCCATCCCCCAGCTCGCAGAGAGTGCTTGCGAAAGTGCTGCGCCTGCCACGAAATCTATACTTGAGAAAGCTATCTACGTGTTAAGCTGGCTATATGTCAAAGCTATCTATCTGTCATGCAAGCCTATTGGAAAGCTATCTATCTGTCAAGCTAGCTATATGTCAAAGCTATCTATTTGTCATGTCAAAGCTATCTATTTGTCATGCAAGCCTATTGGAAAGCTATCTATCTGTCAAGCTAGCTATATGTCAAAGCTATCTATTTGTCATGCAAGCCTATTGGAAAGCTATCTATCTGTCAAGCTAGCTATATGTCAAAGCTATCTATTTGTCATGCAAGCCTATTGGAAAGCTATCTATCTGTCAAGCTAGCTATATGTCAAAGCTATCTATTTGTCATGCTAGCTACCTGTCATAGCTATATGTCAAAGCAGCTAGCTCATTTAGTTCCAGTACTACGGAAGTTTCTTGTTAAACTTCCTTTGATAATAAGAGTTGCTAACGCCGCCGCCGTGTTTGATGGTTTCTTTTTGGGGCCATCAACAAGAGCCGTTTCGCCAATCGCAGAGTGGCTTGGTGGTTTCCTGGTTACTTGCTCTTGGAGATCTGGTGCTATCGCAGAGAGGGACGAGTGAACACACAGTCAAGCAGGCGTGCTTATCTTCTTGTTGCATCGTAACAGGGGGTCCGAGCTCCAAGGTTTTTTCTGACCGGTTTCCAGAAAGAATGGTCCTGGACGTAAAGCCTGTGTGAGTCGGGTCCCCAACCAAACCATTAGCTTGTAAGAGTTGTTCGCATCGTCCCTGCGCTTGTCAAGTTCTCCTCGAAAAACTTGGTTGATGCATAGGAGCCTTTTCCTGGCAACCTACTTCGCTGACCTTGACAACTTGGAAAGAGTTCATGAACCCGGCCAGTTGATTACTGTGCTGCTGGAGCTGAGTGAACGCGAGGCCCAGAAGTTGTTGCCAGCGGCGTGCGCTGGAATGACGGCCGCCGGTCGTTCACCACACATGTGAACACCAATCTGCGAACCATAAGCGCCAACTCCAAGATGAACCCAGCCAAGCTGGTGGTGTCCACTGTGCAGCCAGCATTGGTAGGTTGGGGCAAAGTTCTCACACGTTTCCGCGATGGAGCAGGGCTGGAGCTGACATTCAAAGCCAAGCTTGTTCCGGAATGGAGCGGCGTTGGGCGCATGGAGCAAAGCCATGCGTTGGCCATCTTGGGGGCATGCGGCGCGCTGGGCGCGACAGAGATGAAGACCCTGGATGACCAAGCTATTGCCGGCTCAAACACTGAGGATTTTCTGGAGCTGCGCCGGGTGACAGAGGTGCGCGCCAAACGGGCACGTTTGCTGACGCTTGCCAATTTGGCGCGGCGTGTGTCTGCGTTGCTAGGCGAGGATGTCCCGGCCGTAGCGCTACAAGGCGCAGTCTGCAAGTTTATGCAAGTGCTCTCTTGCTTTGCTTGTGGCAAGACCTTTAGCCGAGCTCGAGAAGAAGATAGCAACCAGAAGTGACATGTGTCCAGTCTCGGCCGCAGGCTGCTGAGACTGATGCGCAAGTTTCAGCAGAGTAGCAAGACGGCCACCAAATGCTGCGGTGATGGAAAAGTGCATTGAGTGTCCGTACTACGAAAGTTCCTTCGAAACTTCCTTTGACTAATGCCAGGTGTCAGGTTGATTCACCCCGAATCCCCGGGGCCTTCACTCTCGAACATGGCATTGACATGGAATTTGCTCCTCGAAGTTGATGAACAACATCGATGCTTTTACCCGGCGTCAAGGAGATGGATGGACCCGATGTGTCCTCATCCCCAAAAAAGGGACTTCCTGCAGGGACATACATGGACTGATTGTAATTATGCGTTGCTCACATAAGCTACAAAAGGTCCCACCTTACATGAAGGAGACAAGCCTTTTTTTGGCTATACAGACTGGTCATGCTTTTTTGCTGTTTGGGGTCGAGGCTGGTGTAATTTAATAATATATATATATATATGTATATAAACTACCAGTTGAACTTTGAGCAGGGGATCTGAGGTTGAATTTCGGTTTTTCCTGCTCCCTCCAAGAATCATGGAAACTGACAGGAGGGCTTTGGAAGACTTCTGTCCTTTTGAGGGAGCCCAGTGTTTGCTTCGTTTCTTTGTTGGACAGAGGGTAGATGTTTAGCTGCTTTGGTGGGGTTTTCCCAATGTAGCCCACAAAAAGTTGAACTGTTTGCTGGGGATCCGAGGACGGCACAGTTGGGCTGCGGGACATCGGTTTTTATTTTTCCCAGTTGCCAAGAGCGAATCGACCAGATCTGAGCTGTTGGTTTTCCCGTTTTGACTTCTTATTTAGTAATGGCCCCCAAATGGTGGTCACCTTTCAGTTTTGCCTCCTCCTGGCCATCTGAGTATCACCCCTTTTTATGCAACATTCAAAAGTGTAGAAGAGTTTTTTTATGGTCTTCCAAAACCCATGCTTCCTTTAAGGACAAGCTTACTTGCTGGTTCAATCGGGGATGAGTTGAAATGACCCGAAGTGAGCCGCGAGCCATCCAACTGATGGGTTCCTAGGGAATCCCTTTCCGCTTCAGTCCACTCCTTCGGCCAAGCTTCATGTTCGGGAAAGGGGCCCCTATCTCCTGGCTAAATTTTAACCATTCGCAATTGTTTTAATTCACTATTCCCATTCACTATTTCATTTGCTAATGTTCACTAAATAATAATTTTGATGTTTCCAATCTCCACCTCCCAGCGGCAATCTTAAGGTTAAAACGATCCTGCGCATTTGATCTCCCTTTCCGGTTCATTTGTCTACTGCTATTGGGTTGGATCTTTAGACTTTGACTTTTTGGACACCCCTCATGTTTCCTTTCAACCTGCCCAAAAAGTCAAACTTTTTGCTCCCCGCATGTCCATGGGTCGTAACACGGTCGGTGGCTAGACCACGAGCCACGCGAAGGCGTGTGCAGACAAATTAAACGGTATTGCCCCAAGTGCGCTTGACTTGGGCGAAATAGTCACAAGTCACAAGGATTCAAGCTTTTGGCACATCTACAGCTCCCAAGGTTTAAAATCGGGGAGCAAGAAGTGTGACTCTTTTTTTTGCAGGTTGAAAGGACACATGAGGGCTATCCGAAAAGTTGCTTTTTCCTCATCCCTACCCCCCGCGTGTTTTTGGGGTCTTTGTGCTTCGTTTTTTCTGGCGCGCGAGTCCGTCCGAGGCTTCGCGCCGGTGCTGCCCCCGCCCAGCACCGCGCCCATGGCCGCGGCGGCGCGGCCCGGGCCGCCGCCGGGGCCACCGCCCAGGCGGCCGCGCCAGGTGCAGGCCAGGGGCGGGGGCCGGCCACGGGGAGGTCTAGTAAGGGCCCTAAAATGTTCGCCCTTTTTTCAGATGGTTGGATTCCCCACTCAAGCAGGGCACCAAAAAAGGTTCCATCTTCTTTCCCAGGGTCACCATGCATCTGCAAGTTCGTTTAGTCTGAGGTTATTTCCGGCATCTTGTCAGCCTCGGGGGATAGGTCTGGGGATAAGCGGTTGAGCCCCAGGGTTCATGTTGAGCCCTTTGTTTGGTGCAACCAACCAGGTGTTTTTTGCTTTTAGTGGGGTGTCACCCCTTTTTTGGATCAACCAACCAGGTTTAGCAGGAGAAGTAGTCTTCCCCAAGTAGGGTTCCCTCCTTTTCCAGGGTCACTGAACAACTGAGGCTAAGTCTTCTTTGGGTGTTGAGGCCGTGGCAGGTTTTTTTCGCCGTGGAAGGGAGCCGGACTCGGAATCCTCAAGAGGGAGCTGAGGAGATGTGATTTCATTGGGGTTTAGAAAAAGGCTCGAAATGGTGGATGGTGGGGATTCGAATTTGTCCCAACCACTGGAGTGAGGTGGTTCCCTATCTAAAATTGCACAAGCAGCAACAAGTTGCAAGGACTCCGTTCAGCTTAGGCGCTGTTCCATCAGCATCGCAATACAGAAGCGAGATGAAGGTCTTGTGGGTGAGGTCTTCGTAGCTTAAAGCCAATGCCTTTGGCTTCTCTCGCTCCCTGAGTGTCGGGACTGCTAGGTCCCCCAGTGCCCTTCTCTCCCCTTCGGGGGAGGGGACACCCCCTAAAATAGACTAAAAAGACAAACGTTGGTGCCAACTTATTCTAACCTCTCAAATCTGGAGGGCCTAGGCATGTTTTTGGGGCTTGGACAATTCAAGCGGTAAAGAACAAGCTGGCTCAACTTGCTTGGCCACTCAGGAAGTGAGCCCATGCGGCAGCACTTATGGCAAATTCTGATGACGTCACGTGGGGCGACGTTATCCACGAAGGTTCTTTCAAAGAGGTCCCTTTTGTGCGGAAAACCTCCCCATGATAATACCCAAAGCGGTTTGCCTTCTCTTTACGGCACTTCGGTAACCAGCTGGGCCCACCGAAAGCTCACCTCTTCGCGGAGGGGTCGGCTGTAGCCGCCCGGTTTTTCCCACGCGCCCACTTTCCGCCGCCAGGCCGCCGCGTCGGTGTCGGGAGAAGCGAGGCTCAAGAAGTCCCAGAGGGTCTATGGCAGGAGGGGTGGTGGGGGGGGGGCGGGGTTGGGCGTGCTGGGCGGTTTTTTGTTTGGCGCCAACTTGGTGCTTGCGGCCATATTTGCATTTTTGCCAGGTTTCGACCACTGACGCCTTAAGAAGAAGTGGCTGCCCCTGCCATGTTGCAAGTCCAGTCACCCGCCCATGGTTGCAGCCAAGAGCCCCGAGAGGCCTACGAAAGGAAGTAGGCCCAACGTCTCCATCATATCCCCCCCTCCCTCCCCCCGTTGTGCTGGAGAGTCCATGCCCCGAGAGGCAGAAACAAGCCCTGTTGCAGCCAAGCATGCGGCAAGGGAGCAACTTCGCCCAGGAAGAAAGCGGGTGTGCAACGGGCGCCGAGGAAAAAAGTATCAAACACCCGGGCAGAGGGCCCAAAGAGCCGGCAGCCACCCGCCCAAAACTGGCCGCCCAAACTGGCCGCCCGATGCGACGTGTCCGCTCTGCCCCCCGCGGGCTTCGGATCCGAAGGCCCTGGAAGTTCGGGAGGCTCCCGCAACAGCGGGCCTTCCTTTCCTTCCCCAGAATCAGCTCCCCCCGTTTGGCCCTTTTGCTTTTTTGGGGTCCCCTTTGTTTTCGACCAGCCAGGCAAAAAACGTATTTTTTGCCGGGGTCCCAATTCCGGAACCGTTTTTTTTTTTGACTAGCCCCGGCTCGGGGCTTAACCCCGGCTCGGAGACTGGTTGGTTGGTTGGTTGGTTGGTTGGTTGGTTGGTTGGTTGGTTGGTTGGTTGGTTGGTTGGTTGGTTGGTTGGTTGGTCAGCTGGGCGGCCGCATCCCCAGCATGCCCAGCATTTCCGGTTTCTTGTCACGGCTGCGTATGGGGCATGACTTGATGCTCGGGATAGCGCATCGCCAGCATTACTGGCCTCACTCGGACGCGAGCTGTCTATTGGCTTTGGTTTGAGGGCAGTTCAGGGTTGATCGGGGCTGGTTTGGGGTGAGTGTTGGGCTTGGTTGGTTGGTTGGTTGGTTGGTTGGTTGGTTGGTTGGTTGGTTGGTTGGTTGGTCAGCTGGGGGGCCGCATCCCCAGCATGCCCAGCATTTCCGGTTTCTTGTCACGGCTGCGTATGGGGCATGACTTGATGCTCGGGATAGCGCATCGCCAGCATTACTGGCCTCACTCGGACGCGAGCTGCCTATTGGCTTTGGTTTGGTGGCAGTTCAGGGTTGATCGGGGCTGGTTTGGGGTGAGTGTTGGGCTTGCTGAGATATTAATGCGAGCGGGTCTTGGGTTTGTTTAGGGTTCATTTATCCTCGGCAAAGGGCCGATATGCAGGATGCGGTTGGGAGGGTTTCAGGTTGACTTTGGGTCGGTTTTGGCTTGGTTGGGGCTGATTCGTGCTAGATGTGCGGCTGGTTTAGCCGTGGCTTTCGGGTTGCTTCAGGGATGTGGTTCTGCACGTTTTGTGCTGGTTTGGGATTGGTTGTGGGGCGTTGCCCCAAACCACCAATCCTAGCCCAAAACTTGCAGAACCACATCCCTGAAGCAACCCGAAAGCCACGGCTAAACCAGCCGCACATCTAGCACGAATCAGCCCCAACCAAGCCAAAACCGACCCAAAGTCAACCTGAAACCCTCCCAACCGCATCCTGCATATCGGCCCTTTGCCGAGGATAAATGAACCCTAAACAAACCCAAGACCCGCTCGCAGCCCAACACTCACCCCAAACCAGCCCCGATCAACCCTGAACTGCCACCAAACCAAAGCCAATAGGCAGCTCGCGTCCGAGTGAGGCCAGTAATGCTGGCGATGCGCTATCCCGAGCATCAAGTCATGCCCCATACGCAGCCGTGACAAGAAGCCGGAAATGCTGGGCATGCTGGCGATGCGGCCACCAACCCCCAGCTTGTGCCGAGCCGGGGTTAGTAAAAAGCCGGGGCTAGTAAAAAAAAAACACCTCAACCCCCAATTCCAGCCTAGTTTCCTGGGCGGGGAACCCAGGCGTTCGTGCACTCTCTTTTTCTTTTTGGCGCGAGGCGAGGTGTGTTTAGTGGTTCAGTGGAAAGTGTTATTTAACCCGCAAGTTTTAAGCTGGCCCATTTGAGGTTAGCAGCCCTTGTTGGAAGGGACGAGCCCCACAAAAAACCCGCATGCTTACAACAAAAAAGGCGGCTCCGCGTTTCTTGGGGGCTAAGGGAGGTGTTGGTGTTGGAATTTTCAGGCAGGGCCATATGATTTCATTGCAGAGGTCGGAGGGTGGGAAAGGGGGTGGGTTTACTTGTGTCACTTCAGGCCTTCTTATCTCGATAGGCCGCGTGAGTCGGCTGAACGAATTCGGCGAACCAAGTGGGATCGGCAGATGTCGGAGTCACCCGGTGGATATGCCCATTTAAAACCACAAAGACATGGTTGTTGTTGGGAAACATGTTGTTTTTTTTTAAACATTTTTGCTTCTTGTGGTTTAGTGGTGGAAAAACTCCAACCACTTGTAGCTGCTAAAAAACATGTTCTTGCTCCCCTTCCAACGTCAACCAACAAGGGCCACGATCTCCAGAAAGCGGCGCCGTCCCCCTTTTCCGCCCTCCGCAGGAAGGTGTGGCTGGAGACCTGCCAGCCTCGGCCGCCTGGCACGAACAGGGCCGGATGCCTTCACCCCGGTTTTCTCGGCGGGGGAGAAAACCCAAAATGTCGGAATCACCAAAAGTTTCTGGGCCCTCAGATTTCCCCCAAATGGAAACCACGAACGACAAAAAGCCTAGAAAAAGCCTTTTGAGGGAACCTTAAAGTCTGGGAGTTGGTTCCCATTCTTTTCAATCGTTCTGGAGCAGCTTTCAAGGAGGGTTCCGGAGCTTTCTGGGCTCAGATCCCCCGCGGAAACTGCCACTCAACTTCCAACCAGAATTAGCTCCCCGTTTTGCTCTTTTGCTTTTTTGGGGTTCCCTTTTTGTTTTCCACGAACCATTTTTTGCTGGGGTCCGATTTTTCCAGCCAAGTAAAGACTAACAGGATAAAAGCCTAAAAAGCCTAACAACCCAAGGGGATGGCTGCTTTCCAGGGGTTGGTTCCTTTTCCATTCTTTTCAGCCATTGTGCTTTTCGGAAAGATCTTCGGATCCCTGGAAAGAATGGGGGAGGTACCCCTAGAAAAAGGAAAACCACCACCCCCCCCCCCCCCCACATCTTTGTGAGGTTTCTTAGTTCCCCAGCTGTAAGCTGCCCAGATCAGCTCTGGGGTGGTTTGGAGCAACTTTCAAGGAGGGTTCGGAGCTTTCAGGTATGCCGTTGGGGATGCCACTCGGCTGATTTGTCCAACTACCCACACTAAAGTGCAATTGCCCAAACTTGATGGGGTGATTTCCGATTTTTATGAGTAGTTTGAGGGTCCAGGTGCCCACATTGTCAAATTTGAAGGGTAAAGGTGGGGAAATCTCGCATACAAAGATTGTTTTCGTCAAGGGTCCTCGATTTCCTTTTTTGGCCTTCAAGTGGCAGTTTACCGGTCAACTACAAGGTTTGGAGGCAAACTCACCCCTGGCTGCCGGTAAGGCCACCAGCTAATAAGAAAGGGGGTTGGCACTTGAAGCAACAAGTCATGACTGTTGGGAATAAAACGATGTGTAAGAATTTAGGCCCCTTGGATGTTCAGCCACCTTAGGAAGTCAGTTAATTATAACCATGTTATATCTGGATGGTTATAGCTGGGAGAAGTAGGTTTGTGCCCTCACCACCTGCCAAGTAGCCTGACCACCCAAGGCTCAGCGCCACCCTCTAAAACTTTTGTTTGGTGGCCTTACACGGCGAACCCCCCCCCAAAAAAAGTTCCCATTTTTCTATCTGAAAAACTGGTATGTGGATGAACACCAGTGACCAGGGTTCCACTTGTTGGCTAAGGAAGACTTAAACCTGGCTTTTGGGGGAAGTGAACTTCGGGGTTCTCCAAAAGCGGAACCCTGTACCAACTGGCTCCCTCTACCTGCCCCAGGTCTGCCCCCAACCAGCCGAATGAGAGCGAGGCAATGTGTCGACGAACTCCGCTTTTCGCGAGCCTTGAATGCGGCACTTGGCTCCCCAGACCCCAAGCAATGCGAGACGGCCTGGTTTCGCGCTGACTTACCCCTTGTCGGTTTATCTTGAAGGGCGGTATGTTGTAGGGGGCCAATTTTGGGGTGGCAAGACGTTGGAGGGTAAATCTCGGAGTTTCTTGGGATTCACGCAGGTGTTCTGCATAGTTTATGGCGAGCTCACCGATTCGAAAGATTCTTGACTTGGGGATCCCTTATGTCAGGCTTTGGAGATATCGTAAATGATACGGGCATGGATTTCTTGCCCGCTGCCTTTTTTGAGGCTAGAAGGGGATGAACTCAATTGTTCAAAGCAAATCAACATCTTCTTCACTGTTCTTGGCATGTTTATCTTTTTTTCTGTTCATTTTTACTGGGGGTCTGCGAAAAAATATATAAAAAATAAAGTTTTTTGCTACACCAAGAGTAGCGATGTCTTGATCTGCCCTTTCCACGGCTTTCCCTAAAGCCATGGCCCCCCAAAAAGGTGATCGCCTTCCAACACCCCCCCCCAACAACGGCTTTTTATATGTCCAAGGCCCAAGTACTGTGCTAAAAGCGGGTGGCTTTTGTTGGGCCCCAAAAGGTGATCGGGGTGTGTCTGCGTTTGCGGCCGGACTTGGGAGGGCTAGAGCTTGGCGTTGTCCGAAGCTAGGGGAAGTCCCCTAATTGGGTTGCGAGCATCTTACGCAATTGGCCCGACCCCTTCAAGTCAACCTGTGCCAAAGAGAAGCCCTTTCATTTGGGTTCTTTTTCAACACAGAAAACGGGGTGCCTTCAGCCAACCTGTGCCAAAGAGAAACCCTAAACCCCAAAGAGAAGCCCTAAGTTTGTGGTTTTCATTTGGGTTCCCTAACTCCCAACTGAAAGCGGGGTGCACCAACTCCAAAGCCAGGCCGACCCGACGCTGGAAGAGGCGGGAGCCGCGGCGCGGTTCCCGCGGCTCCCGCGCCGGGCGGATTTGGGGGGGTCCCCTAAAAATGATACACCCAAATAGAGACAGCGAGAGAGCGCACAGCACACATACTTTTTTTACCCTCCCGTGGAACCAAGAGAAACTAATTGTCTTCGAGTACCCAGTGAGGTTCCATGTTGGTCAGGAGGGTAAACCCCCCCCAAAAAAAACCAAAAACAAAACACCCAACGGAAAAAGTCAACACGCACACACACACACACCCAACGAAAAAAACAACAAATCAGCGTCCAGGAAGACTGCCTTGGCCCCCTGGACAACGAGTCCGTGTCCAGCGAGCCGAAGGATCGCTTCGAACAGCTCGCGCGGGCCCCGGGCTGTGGGCCCCGGGCCTTAGGGGGCGCCGAGCCCGGGCCGGGCTCAATAGGTATTGACAATGGATTTGGCCATGGGCTTTTCACAACCCAAATCGTACCCCCAGTGAACATTGCAATCCAACCACTAAAATAGGTAACCTAAAATGGGTGGTGCAGCTATCCCAAAATGGTACCTTTGGTTTTGACCCACAGTTATTTGATCAAATCAAATGAGGCGGTTAGCAACCGAGCTGGGACATCTCACAGCGAGGCCCGGACTCTGGTTAAGACTTCTTGGGAGTTTGAATCATGGTGTTTTGGTGTCCAGGCAGGTCACCCGGGTCCCAGTCCCCAGTCTCTCATCCCGAAGACACCCCATGACGCTGCCGTCCAACCCTTCGTATGGGATGCTTCTTGCCCCAGGGCGGGCACCGGCTTCTGCCTCCTGGGGTTGATCCACTTCCCATGGCCAAGAAACCGACGGCAGTCGCTTTCGCGCTTGGTCGAGTCTACTTGTCATGGCCGCAAAAGGTTGGCCAAGTGAGAAAGGTCTACTACAAAGTCAGCTTACAAAGCGGATCTTTACAAGCGAGAAATACAAGTAGACCAAGTGGGCAAATACAAGTACCTCTGGGTTTAGGAAAGCGAGCTTCGCTCCCGGCGAAAGCGATTCAAGCCCCTTCGCACTGAGTCCCCACGCCTGACGCAGCACTTGGCCGGCTGGTTCGGGGAGGCCAGCGGTGAAGAGGCGAAGGCCGGCTGGTTCGCGCGGGCCAGCCGTCACAAAAGCCGGCTCCCCCCTACAATTACAAGGGGCGAACTTTTTGTTATGTGAGTTGATACTTTGTTTTGTTGCTTTCCCTTTTGGATTAAAATCAGCCTCCAACCCCCTAAGAAGAAAGAAGAACATCAATGAGAATTAACAGCAGGACAACAAATACAATTTGCTCGTGTGTTATCTGAGTTGGTAGGTCTTTCTTTTTTCCAGGCTGCTTTTCTTCCTTTGGGACTCCGAAAAAAGTCGGCCCTTCCCCACCCCTGGGCCCAACCCCAAACCCCACGCCCGAAGCCCGAAACCCGAAACGCCGGCCAGGAGCCGGACGCCATCGCGCAGCTGAGCAGCTTCCTGCAGCAGGCGGGGGTCGATCCTCTCGGCGGCGTTTTCGGCTTTCGGCGAGCCTAACCCGTCGAGCGGGAAGCAGGGAAGACCCATGCCGGCAAAGGGCCCGGAAAAAGCGGAGCATGTGGCCGTACCTCATACTTGTGAAGCCACGCCAAGTAAGTGAGTGATATGCATTGCAAAGAAGTGCACCAACCCCAGTTACCACACTTATTGTCAAGTATATCACCTACTTACTGAGTGGCTTGAACACTCAAGTTCCTTTTTGACTAGAACAAAAGACAACGACCACCTGGGCAATGTTATGCCCGGACAATAGTATGGCTCTGAATTTTAGTCAGGGAAAAGAAATCCGAAATGGTTGGTGGACTTAAACCACTGAATTTGGATGTCCCCAATTCAATTTCATAGCCATGGGTAGGTTATATATGAAACAGAATCTGAAACGGGGTTCCCTGTGTTGTCTTTGCTTTACTGGTCTTGGCATGTGTTAAGCTTTGTAGTTGTCTTTGGCCCTCATAATTTCCCGCTGGTAACACAGTGTTTTTTTTTTTTTAACCAGCGGAAAGTGAACATGACTGGGACTTAGCCTCGTACCCCTTGGGTAGTTATCCTTGATCTATGACGCCTCCCATCGCTACCTTTCATCGCATGCTTATTATTGGCATTGTGTTTTTGTTCATCCGATAAAAGAAAGAAGCAACACAAGCAAACTTGTTTTTAGCGACCCGAATATGAGCAACATGTGCCACTTTCCTCACTCAAACGAGCCAAGCGATCGAGTAGTTGGTTTCTATCTAGCCCAACAAAACAACCCCGCTCAGGTTGCTGAACTTATCTCCAGCCGTTTTCTCGCTTGTCAAGAGAGTCTATTCATGTTGCGTCGCATATGCCACGTTCGCAGACCACGGTCAAGAGATCCCTTAACCTGGGGTTGATGGGGCTGGCCATGAACCATGTTGGAACCATCGCCATGACTTCCAAGCAGCTAAACACAATTCAGGTATGTTCGCGGTTTGGATTTGGTGCTTGAGGGTAAATTGGGACCCCCCAAGCTACCCGGTTTTCAACCAAAGTCTGTGTAAGGCTTGTATTTCTCTCAAATCGTGAACTTGGTCAATTCAGTCAAACATGTGTTGCATGGCATTTTACGGCCACGTATTTTCCTGGGGGGGGTGGAAACTGAAAACTGGCATTGCCCAGCTTGCTTCTTCCGAGCCAACTGGCCTTGGGAGCGCCGTGTCCTAGGAGGAGGAGCTAGCGGAGAACGAGAGGAAAGAACGCACCTCGCCTGCAACTGAGGTCCGGCTGCTGGACCCCCAGACATGACTCGGTTTTCCTTTTGGCGTCCCTTTAAACCCCAACAAAAGCGGGGGGTACCCGCAAAAAGACCCATTTGGGGTGGGAAATCCCTTGATGCCACCACTGAGGATGCCCCAAGTCTCGCAAGCAAAGCAGTCAGACCCAAGCTGTCAGCATCGGTTTCCTAATTCCCCTTGCAGCTGGAGCCAGCATCCGCCCATCCCGCTGGGGTCAAGATGTGAGACCAAAATCTCAGTTTAGTGATTTTTGTAAATTTAGACCCATACATTTCATAGAAATACGTAATTAGAACTAAGTGAAACTGTCTTTAATCAAATTGCAATCCTTGAAAGCCAACTTGTGGAATCTATGTCTTAAGGGCCGGAGCCCAAGCTGTGCCCCCACTTCGCCACGGGGTTCCAGACTTGCCAATTCCCACGGGGTCAGAATGGCCTTGGGACCCATGGGATGAGAATTAGCCAGATAATGGCAGTTATATCAACCTTCTATTTACTGTTCCAAAAAACGGGCGATCCATACCCATATATTTGCTGCAACTCATCTGCAATATCAACCACCATTGTTTCAATGGTTGGAACCCCAGGAATCAGGCTACCCCCAATTGTGATTTTGCACGTCAGGGTCACAGCAGGTCAGTAGTTCACTGTCAGGAGCCGCTTTTGGCAGCTCCTTTTCCCCATTTCCACCAAAAAGGAGACTGCCAACAAGTGGAACCCTGGAACCCTGGTCGCTGGTGTTCATCCACTTTCCAGCTTTTTCAGCTAGAAAAATGGCGCTCTAGGGGAAAGAGCGAGCCAAATGCTGTCTTTGACCAGAACATAGGTAAGCAAGTGATATGCATGGCAAGACGGTCACCAACCCCAGTTAATTTAGCCTACTGAGTAGCTTGAACAACCAAGTCCCTTCTCCACCAGACCGAAAGACAACCACCACTTGGGAAACGTTATGCCCGGACAATATGGCTCTGAATTTTAGTGAGGAATAGGTATAAATCCCAAATGGTTGGACTGAGCGAGTTCTTGGATGTCCATTTCGAGTCCGAAACTAAACTTGGCACCCAACTGGTGGACGTGGGGCAGAGTTTACTCAAGTGAGACCATACTGTGGATGGTTTCGAAATCCATTTCGCACCACCGAAGAAACCCATGAATGATTCGATACCCTTGCAACTAGCCCAACGAACGTTATGGTTTCTGGTTTGATTTCGTGGTGAAATCGAACGGATTCTGATTCCGTCCGCAATAATCCAAGTGCTTCGCCCAGTGCAAAAGCGAAGCGCCAAATCTTGCTGGTGCGATAGGCAGGGAAGGAGGGAATGACCCCTATAAATTAAGCCATCCCTATATGTTTTCCTTTAAGGGCATGCCCCTCTAAACCATCCCCTCTGGTTTCCTTTAAGGGAATCCCCGAGCGTTTCCTTCCATTTCTCATTCCTATCGCAGCGATCGCGAGAGCCACTGGGCCGCGTTCCGCAGGCAGCCAAACTGCCCTGGCCCGGATCTTCCGGGCTTGGGACCTGGCTGTAGGAGGCGAAGCGACCCAAGATGACCCAAGGGATGGATCGGTGCGTTGGGCCCCCCCTCCCCTCCCACGGTGGGAATTGGGATGTCCTCCCCTGAGCCACTGGTCAGGTGGTGTCAAACCAGGGGACCCCATTTGGTGTGATGGACACTTGGGGTCTTTGTTGCAACCTCCTTCTTTTGGGGTATTGGTTTGTTTTAGGGTAAGCTGCAACATAGATTCCAAGTGTCCACCATACGGACCCCCCATTTCAGCAACTGAGGTTAACGCTTTGGTTTTGATGTTGGCTTCGCGTAGTTTGTTTGTGGTTTTTTGCTTGGTTTTGTTATTGATTTTGGTTTTATTGGCATTGGTTTAGATTTTTGGCTTCGATGTGTTTTTTTCTTGTTTCCCAATGCATTTGTGTGCCAGGCCGTTTGGGAGACATCAGGTTTTGGTCATGGCTGTGTTTGTAAAGTTCCCCAGCGCGGGGTTATGCTCAAAATCGGACAATCCGTCTTGAGTGGGTGGGGGGGTGGGGCGGGGCTACCACCTTTAAGTTACATCGTTGGCGGTCGGGGTGGGTGTTCCGGGTGCTTCTTTCCACTTGCTTCAACAGGAGCTTGGCGTTCGAATCCCCAGGCACAAATCCAAACCAGAAACTTCGGCAAGGTTCGCTTGCGGGGCAGCCTTGCCAAAGCCGGGATCTCTTTCGAAACTACCACGGTTCTGGGAGCCAGGGTTTTACCACGTTCTGTGATACGAAGGGAATCCATCTCAAAGTGATAAAGTCGTCCGTTTCTGTGTCACTCTAAGGGTTGATCTCCCATTTCCATCGTGCTCTTAAAAACTGTGTATTTTCCCAGGGGATCTGCACTTTTCTTGAACTTGGCGATTCCCAGCTGCCCGGTGCCTTAGGTTTCCAGATGCTTTTAGCTGGTTTAGCGGTTGAGTTTCCACCCACAAGGTCTTTACTTTCGAAGGGGAGTTAGTTTGGACAACCCAGTGAAGAGTAGGCGAATGGTTGGAAGGTACAGCTCGCATCACACGGTTGCCAACGTTTGGGGACATCTTTAGACACTTTTTGCGCTTGGACATATTAGTTGCACCATCCAAGTGTTTGGACTTGTTTTTGGCGCATCCACGGGAGTGAGTGTTACCATCTTTGCCCTTGCCTGAAGTGACGAAAGAACATGTTGAGATTCCTAGGCTTAGGGTTGAACGCTGACCAGTGGAATGCAATTAAGTCCCCCCGTCGTGCCCTTTCTCATTTTTTTTTGGCGGGTTCCCCTACTAAAATAGACCACAGAAAAAAAGTTGGTACCCTTAGCTTTTTAGCCCTTTTAGTGTTTAGTGGTAGTTTCCATTTAACCCACTAAAAGTTAGTCACTTTTAGCGGGGATCTGAGGGCAGCCCAGTATTCTAAACTCTCTACCGGAGGATTCCTAGACCAACAAAAACACGGAAGTTTAAATTCCTAGGTTTAAAGTTGAACGTTGCCAGGGAAAATAATAATAATAATAATAAATATATATATATATATATATATGGTACCCCCCCCCCAGGGACCTACCTTTTTGATGAATTCACTGGTATTTGCAGTGTTTTCTACCCTTTTTTGGGCTTTGGGGAGAGCAATGAAAAAGAAGCATTTCCAAGGACGTTCTGGAAGCTTCAGGCTTGATTGAAACCGATTTAAACCGATTTAATTTAAATCGGGCATGGATTCAAGATTCAAGATTCAAGAATCCAGGCCAAACTTTTCCAGGGATTCTTGAATCCAGGCGTCGATTTAAACCGATTTAAACCGATTTAACTTGAATCGGGCATGGATTCAAGATTCAAGATTCAAGACTCCCTGGAAAAGTGTGGCCTGGATTCTTGAATCTTGAATCTTGAATCCATGCCAGATTTAAGTTAAATCGGTTTAAATCGGTTTAAATCGACGCCTGGATTCAAGAATCCCTGGAAAAGTTTGGCCTGGATTCTTGAATCTTGAATCTTGAATCCATGCCCGATTTAAGTTAAATCGGTTTAAATCGGTTTAAATCGAGACCCACATTCAACATTGCACTTTGCGCGGCTGTACTTTAGCATAGTGTTGTGCAAGCATCCAAGTCCTGATTATTCATTCAACCTGTTTCAATCTAGGCCCACGTTCAAGATTGCAGGTCAAAGTTTTCTAGGGAATCTTGAACCCAGGCTCAACTGAAATTTCAGTCGGTCTCAATGGGTTTCACTCGGGCCTGGACTCGCGTTTGCAAAGAAGACTTGTCTAGAGAATATGGGTTCTTTCCTTATCAAATCCTGTTAAAGCTCATATTGAATTGCAAGTATATATTGGAAAAGGAACTCTATTTAAACTCGCAATCTCAAATTTGATTACTATTAGGATTCTGACCAAATATTTCCGTATTGAGTCCCAATTAAATCCTGTTCAAGTTCAAATGAGCATTTAGAGAGCGTTCGTTGGTGGAGATGTGAATTGAGTATGAAAAACGCTACACAACACTGTGTTTTACGGTGTTTTCTGACCAAGGTAGTGTTAGGACTAGTGAAAGACACAAGTTTGGGACCTTTGGATTCGTTCCTTATGCATTCCACTTAGTATGTTTTATCAAATTCAACTTTATTTCTGATTGAAATTCAATGGAGCTTAAGAAGGACATACTCCAGCCAAAATTGCGATTTAGATTCGAACTTAAATATTGACTGTTTATGTCAAATTAAATGGTACAAACTATTTTCTGTCCAATAGACCATGGTACATTGAAATTCAATCACTTTCAGAACTAGCTAGTCCTAGTTTGGTCCTAGTCCTAGTTGGGAGATCCTTGGTTATAGGCCAAGTATGGTCCCAGCTTACTGAAATACATAGAACGTATAAAGGACATTACAAAGGAAGGTCGTTATGAATTGTAGTTAATATATTAGTCAAGTTCTATGCAACTTCTAGCTGAACAATTGAATTTGAAATAAGGAGAATATCCAGTCAGAATTTACATGTTAGGACCAAATATTAAACAGGACTTTTTTTCCACCAGAATGTAATACTTGACATCCAAATACTATAAGAAGTAGAATTAAATGGTTAAATGGTCTAGTCCTAGTTTGGTCCTAGATGAGAGATCCTTGGTTCTAGTGTTAGGTTGCTCCCTAGTTTACTGCAACAATTAGATATACAGGACAATAAAGTTAGTTTAAATTTTTTAAGTCTCTTAGTCGTCTAGTCCTAGTTCAAGGGTCCTTCAGAGATCTGGGTTCTCTCATTTGTCCTGGTCCTTTGAGAGATCGTTCCTTCCAGAGAGATGGGCAGCACACTGGAGAGGCAGCCAAAGGTAGGGGGGGGGGGGGGGGGGGGGGGTAGCATATATATATATATATATATATGCAAAACCGGCAGGCGCCGCGGACTGCGAGCGGCCGAGCTCGCGCGTGGAGGAGTTGGACTACTGCGAGGGAGGCGCGTTTTGGGTCGAGAAATTGGTCGAGACGGGACCTTGGGTTGTGTGGCGCATTTGGTTGCTGATACGTGATTGTTGTTGGGACACATGTTGCATTTGTTGCTTCTCGTGGTTTCGCGGTTGAACCCCCCCACTTGACTGCTACAAATTGTTTTTTTTTGCTCCCCTTCCACGTCAAGCAAGGATATCCCCAGCGGCTGACTTCCCTGGAGTGGGCTCCCCCTTTTGTTGTTTTTTTTTTTTTGCTTTTTGGGGTCCCCCTTTGTTTGCGCCACTTTTCGCTTCTTGCTGAGGTCCTAATTCCAGCCCAGAAAGATCCCTTGGAGCTTTGGCCCCTGGAGTCCCATTTCTGGCAGACTTAAATGGAATTGAGGGACCTTTTCCCCACCTTCAAGTTCAAACTGAGCCCAAAAAGGGTACCCTTCAAAAGAAGGACGCACACACACACACACATCTTTGACCAGCTGTAAGAAGCAAAACCCGCTGGGCTGTTCTTTCTCCTTACCTTGCGCTATGAAACGGGGTCTCTTGAAGTCTTGGGAGTGCTGAACAGCCCATGCCTGCTCATTGCGAGGCTCCGAACCCAAGAAAAACAGACGCGGTTTTTCGATTGCCCTCCTTTAAGGAACGCTATGGCCCCTCTGGAGAATGCCAAGATTTTTCAACCCCGCGGACAGTCCACAAGGGGGGGGGGGGGATTTCACTTTTTCCAAGCTGGTGATCCGGATTCGCCCGGTGCCACCCAAAATCGGCTATGGGTTGCCCCAGTTTTTTGTTGTTTTTCCCCCCACTCCACCGGGGGAGGAATTTTTGTGGAGGATCCTGCGACGACCTGTTGCCGGGTTTTTTTGGCGGGTGGGTTCTCAGAGAGCCGCCGCAGCCCGGCCCGCCGGGCCGCCGGTGGCCCGGCGTGAATTCCAAATGGCCGTGGCCATTTGGGCCTCATTTTTTCCCCAAGGATCGATGATTTTATCGGGATCTGCCGCAATTTGCCGCAATTTTCCACAGCGGATCGACAATTTTAGCGGGATCTGGCTGAATTCCACCTTCCAATCTTGAGAAGCCTTTCATGTATTTAGTCAATGAGTCGAGGTTCCAAAAGGTTGACCTGTGATTTCCAGGTGGATTTGTAGAACCGTGGTCCGCCCAAAGCGCCAGATGTTTTTTAGAAAGAACACGTAAATGATAAGAACATCAAAACAGGAAACTCCGGTTTATAAACGCTGGTTGATAAAAACTGGTTACCCTTTGACTGCTGGTTTATAAACACTGCCGCCTGGCATGGGTGTTTTCCGTCCACGGGCGGAGTCCGTGCCATGGAACTTGAGGGACCTGTGCCTAGCGGTTCCTTGCAACACCCGTTCCTCATGCTGACCCCATGCTGATCAACCCCTGTTTATTGGATTTTTTGGGGGAGGGGGCCCCTCCAAAAGTGGTCTGATTCCCCACTAAAACCAGGGAAAAGCACCCCCCATATTAGCCCATATTACTAAACTGGGGTTGAGTAATATGGCGTACGGCTTTTGCAAGAACACTTAGTGCCCCTCGTGTATCTTTTCAAGCGCCCTTCGATTCATGGGGTCAACCGTATGGGTTTCCCCTTTGCATGGTTGTTTTGTTGGGAAACTTTTTGCATTTTGCTTCTTGTGGTTTAGTGATTGAAACCCAACCACTTAACTGCTAAACCTTGTTTTGTTGCTCCCCTTCCAACGTCAAGTTTAAACCACACAAACACGCGTGTGCAACTCAAAAAACGGGACCCCCCCCCATCAGGCGATGCCTGGCGAGAAATGGAGGCTGCAGATTGCCCCGGGGCCCAGGGCACCGGATGTTGGTTTGTATCTTATCGTATGTATTGGTTTGGTCTGTTTTTCTGTTACCCCCCGGGTTCCTTGCCTCCATTAACAGAATGGTTGGCCCACAACTTGGATGATGAAAGTCCTTAGGTACATAATGGTGGTTATAGTAGCGCCCATTTTTTGGTGGTTTGAACACCAAAGCGTTTCTTGGCTTGTGTTTTCTTTGTTGGCTGGTCTGGACTGGACTGGTATCGTCAGTTTGTTGTTTTGTATGCTGCACTTGTTTTGGTTGCGTTTGTTTGTTTAGTTCTGTTTGTTTTGCTTGCGCGGGCCTCCCAGTTTTGCTGTCTGTTTGTGCTGACCTGTTGGAGCACGGAGGCCATCCTGATCATTCCTCGCACGCATGACAGCCAAGCATATTGATCCCGGGGTTGAAACGAGCTCGTCATTCCAGCCGACCTACTTTCGGTTGGTGAGTTTTACTTTTTTTTGTTTCCTCTTTTGGGCTGGTCGACAATCCTTACTTCGGGTTTAGTCCCCTTTGTAGCTTTGGGTGTTTCAATTTCGCTTTAACCTACCATTTGTATAGGGGTGACGTTGATGTTGATGGTGAAGCAATGAGGCCAGCACAAGCCAGCCCGTTCGGGCTCCGTCGCAAAACGCTTAAAACGGGTCCCGCACCGCTCGTGAAACGGACGATAAACGCCCAGGTGTCACCGACCTCCTGTGCATTGCCATTCGCTCCGGCCTGCCCTAGCTCGCGACAAAACCGGCGAGACGTTTCACACAGAGATCTTGAGGGAGCCAAGGGTGGGTTTATACAGATGGTCGATAAATCGGGGGGGGGGGGGATATCCCATTCCAGGAAAGGATCCGAAACTATTTTTTCTTTTTGGGGGGGAACACCCTCTAGGAAGTTGCCAGGTTCTGCAGTTAACTCCGAGGTTGACATTGCTGGCCAACCCTCCATTTGAATAGCCCAATGCTTGGCGAAACTCACTTCCCACTTTTTGGGAAGGCGGTTTTCAGCGGGAAACAGCAAGTTCCAACTTTGGACCAATCCGCCCAAGACATGGTAGTTGTTGGGAAACATTTTGCATTTTGCTTCTTGTGGTTTAGGGGTTGAACCCCCCACGGAACTGCTAAAAGATATATTTTTTGCTCCCCTTCCAACGTCAACCAAGAAGAGTGTTGCAAAAGAATGGGCCCCGTCGTTTTGTTCTTCTTCCTTTTCTCCCGGGATGTCTGTCCGCGAGCCGGACCCCCCAAAGGGGTGGCCGGTTTTATGCGCCGGGAGGCGTCTACTGCATGGCGCCGGCTGTAGATTCCCTCCATGAGGGGCCATTACTCAAAATAAAGGGGTCATTGAAATGACCCATTTTCAAGAAAATTGACTTATTTTCAAAGGGTCATGGAGACTCCAGGTAGAGGTGTTTCGTTGGTTTAGTGGTTGCGTGTCTGAGTTTGACCCACAAGTTCACCAAGCTGTACCTGGTGGCACCTTGTCAAAGATGGATAACAGACTGTCAAAGGATAGGCTGCTGGGCCTACATGAGCTTCCATTGGCTGACATGAGTGGGTCTTGTTTCCCTTGGTTTTAACGGGAATCAGTTACTACTCGACGTATGTTCCATGTTTTTGCTGGGCGACTCAAGGTGATGATTTGGCAGTGCACTGCCTGTTTGGTCATGGGCGTGCGCGCGCTAAGGTTTCCCACAAAACACAGGGGGGCTCACCAAATGTTCAGTGTTTGCTTGGGGAAAGGGGTATTTTTTGCTTCTATTTGCGGCACGCTGGTTGGACAAAATCGTGCACCACCTAAGAACCTGTGGAATGATTCGATTCCCCAATGTGAATACCACTGAACGTTCTGGTTCCCGTTGGTTTCAAAGTGGTAACTGAAATTCGCAAGCTGCAGGACGTTTTTAAGGCCCCGGCCCAAAGTTGGGGAGGTCCTGGGCATGTTTGCTGCACAAATCGAAGCCTCGAGGCCAGAACGAGCTGACCGGCAGCAAGGGAATGTAAATGAGATTTGGACCCCCCAAAATGGTTGGTGTCCTCTGGGTTTCCGGTTGAATCCAAGGAAAACGGGGCTTCCCCCCCCCCCAGAAAACAGAAAGACCCGATTGGCTCGCAAGCCGGCTTCGGCGAAACAGGCCCTCCCGGCATGTACATGTACAAAAGACAAGCGAAGCGATCGAATCGCAGTTGCCTCTCGCGTTGAAAGCACTGCTTGCAACCGGGGCGAATGGACCCGTTTTTCTCCCATGGGTCTCTTTGGAGTTGGTGCCCGTTTTTGTAGTTTTTAAAGGGAAGCCAAGAGGAGAACCACCATTTTGGGGTTCCCCTAAAAAATGATACAGAATTGGCTAGAGAGTGGTGGTACACATTTTGCCTTTGGTTTTGGGGGGTAGTGGAAACACAAGAGGGCAGGGTCGATGAGTGAAGGTTTGCGAAGGCATTTCTGATGGGGGTCCCCATTCAGTGGACAATTGTCTCATTTTGGGAGGAGTTAATTGCTTTCGTTGAGTAGCGCAACCCTGTAATGGGAGGACAGTGGATGCAACAGGAACCACTGGAACATCATCGACCTCCCAACATAACTCCCGACCTGAATGATCTCCACCACAATCTCCGCAGTTAAAATTCATACCCATTTGTGGCAAAACATGCTCCCCGATTTTTTGGCAAGACCATCCTTAAGTTTAAACTGTTTAAGCTCGGGATGAGAGGACGTCAAGAGTGCTTGGACACAACTGATCCAATTTCCAGTCTCAAATCGCACGCGCGAGAACGATTTGCCGCCAGGACAACGACGACAGACGCCTGAGCAGCTCGGAGCATGCGATCCGGTCGCCCCTTTTGCGATTCATGTTTCGTTCTTTCCCCAACTGAAAGCTTTGGGGTCGCAGCCCAGATAAGCTCCGGGGTAGTCCGGGGCGGTGAGGTAAGGTAGTTCCACCAGGGTTCCACCAGGGTTCCACCACGGTTCCAGGATTCCACCAGGGTTCCACTAGGGTCCACCAGGTTTCCACGAGGTTCTACAGGGCTGTGGGGCGGTGCGAGCACTAAAAGAGCACCGCCTGCTGTTGAGGATGTCACCTGAGCTTATTATTTCCCCTTACCGCTCCCACCGGTTTCTGTGGAACCTGACGTTCGGGGTCCCTTCAAACGGAAAGTGATAACGCAGTATCTGTCAGGTTCCATGTTAATTGGTGGGAGTGTATAAACTAGCTTAATTTGGTTCTGTCCTTTTTTAAGGCTCGGTACCGGGTGGTTCTGGGTGGCTGTTGTCGGGTTTGTTGGTGTTAACAGGGGAATCGGCCAACAGGGAACCCAAATTTTCGGAGGCAGAGCAATCCGGATCCCAGCTTCGCCCGCAGGCCTGGCGCTCACGGCGCTGGTGGAGGCGATGCGGAGTCCCGACTCGGGGCGTTTGGATTTGGGTCTTTTTTTGTGAGGTGTCCCCCTTTTTGGTAGAAAGGGGGGTCTTGAAGGGAAACACGAAGTGAACGCCACCTCAAAAAAATCGAAAAATACAGAAACAAACCAAGAGCAGAACTTGCTGATCCCTTGTGGTTTCCTTTAAGGGCACCCCTGGGTTCATTCCCTCATTCCGAACTGAGCGCTAGCAAGAAGAACAGCACGCCCATGTTGCCGATTCGAATCGGCGCGGCAACTTCAATTGCCGATCGGCACGCCGCTTTCCTGGTCCATTTGGTCCAGTGGACCGTCTCCTTTTTAGTGGTTTTAGTTGGTGAAAGCTGGTTGCCAGCGGATCGGCCAGTTCAACTGAAAGGTTGTTTTTTAGTGGCTTTTGTTGGTGAAAGCTGGTTGGGTTTCCGAATTTAAACATTTAACCCACAAGTTTTTGAGCGTCTAGCCGATCAGAAAGCAAAGAGCCCGGCTAGTGAGTCCAAGCCTTCGACATGAGTCTCCACTTTGAGACACACAGCGCCACTTCGAGCATAGACCCGTTTTAGTCGAGAGGTTGGGTTTGTTGATGCGAGTCTTCGTTTTCGGCTTTCCCATGTGCCTGGGACCCCCCATCTTCCAAAGAGGGGGGGGCAATCGCCTATCAGAACACCAACCACCGGAAAGAGCAAGGACGAAACATCACAAATCAAAACCAACACAACAAAGCAACAACAGAGTTCCTGTAAAGCTCCCCTTCGGGAACGTTAGGAAGTCGAAGGGGCGCTCAACCGACCCGGTTTGTGTGTTTGTTTGTTTTTAAGGACCCCCCCCCCAAATATACATATATATATATATATATAAACATATGTACACACATGTTTTTGTCGTTGCTGTTCTCTCCTTTGAACAACCCAAACCAGTGTACCAACTCTAAATAAAGAGACGGGCCAATTTGTGTTTCACTTTAGACCCGCAATTTGACCCCGCCTGGATCGCCAGTTGCGATCGCTTTTTTTTCTTCCCATGCACTTTACTCCAAACAACAGCAACAGTGACTGAAAAAAGCGATCGCAACTTGGCCATCGAGGCAAGTCAAGAACTTTTCTAGACCTGCAATTTGCCACCAAGTCAAGAAACAGGCCAAGAAATAGACACCAACCCAAACCAGTCTACGAACTCCAAATAAAGAGACGGGCCCATGTGTGTTTCACTTTAGACCCTCAACCGGCAGCAACTTGGCTATCTAGCTACATGATTAACCCGGATATATCCCACTTACCAGGCTAAGTCCGCCAGAACAAGGGTTGCTAAACAACCATTTGGGTATGATAAGAGCAGCAACTAAAGAAACAGACCGATCCTCCACCGGGGCGCGCGGGCGCGCAACCCCCACGGCCCCGTTTTTCCTGGCCGCCAGGCGCCCATCTTCGTGGTCTGCGCCTTCACGGGGCTGGGGCTGCTGGTCTCCGCGGCTCAGCTCCTGCGGCGCCTGAGGCGCGCGGATGCGCGGATGCGCGGAGTCGATCGGGCGGGATTCGTCCCGCGGCCGTCCCGGCGTTTGGTTCCTTAGATTTTTTGTTTTTTCGGGGTCTCCGTGACCCTTAACAAGAATGGGGTCGTTCCCCAAAGACTTTTGGGGTCATATTGTTGAGTAATGGGGTCATGGACCGTTTTTAGAGGGTCATGGAGAGTCTAGGTGGGGCTTTTTGGTTGGTTTCGTGGTTTCCATGGGTTGAAGCCAACAGGAGCCCATCGATTGAGGGCGGAGAAGCGGAAACCAAAAGCAAACTCACCCGTCCGGAATTTCGAGTCATGTTTTGCGGCACCCTTTTCGGGTTGCTCAAAAGGATCAAGATACAGAAAAAAATCCCCCAGTATGAGACAAACCCACATCGTGCTGGAACATGTCGGGTTTTCGGACCTGGCTGCGTGTTTTTTTTTTTCTTTTTGTTTGGCTTCGTTGACCTGGAGCACTTGTTGGTGGGGAAAGTGTGTTTTGCCCCACTGTTCCCCACACAACGTTGAACTGTGATACCGGAACCTGGGAAGTGGTACTGTATGCCCCCCCTCAAAAAGGAATAGGGTGAGGGGAGGAAATCGACCGGAGATCTTCCTTTAGGGTTCTCCATTATCACAACGGGGAACTATGTCAATGGAGTTGGGTCTTGGACCCATTAAGGCTAGAGGGATGTTACTCTTCTGCTATTGGGTTGAAACTTGAGACTTTTATCTTCATTTTTTTAGATACCTCTCATATGTCCTATGAAACTACAGCATGAATGTAGTTACCTCTCATACTCACCTTTTGCTCCCGGCATATCTACAGCACCCAAAATGAAT